TTTTTGTTTTTTTTTTTTGTTTTTTTGATTCCGCTCGGACGTCTCGTCGTTTCAGAGTAGCATACACAAAACGCCTGTATGGGCTCAACGAGACGACGGCTTCCTTTCTCTCTCGTACACTCTGTTTCTTTTTTTCGTAAGTACATGTATATGTATATTGCATATATATATATATATATATATATATGTGTGTATATATACATATGGTACGCATATGTATACATATCTTTCTGACATTTTTTTTTTTTCTATTTCGGGTTGTCACAGGTCAACGCGTGACTCAAGTAGAGGTCTCGTTTTCTAAAGCCCGTAAAAACACGGTGCGCATCGTGTTTCGATATGTATCACCTACACGGCCTTTTACTGTGCCGAAAAATTCGTTTCAAATTGCACGGAAAAAGGAAACGGTTATTATTATTGTTATTATTGTTATTATTATTATTATTACTATTATTATTAGTAATAGTAGTAGTAGAAATAGTAATAGTAGTAGTAGTAGCAGTAGTAGTAGTAATAATAGTAGTAGTAGTAGTAGTAGTAGTAGTAGTAGCAGTAGTAGTAATAGTAGTAGTAGTAGTAGTAGTGGTAGTAGTAGTAGTAGTAGTGGTAGTAGTAGTAGTAGTAGTAGTAGTAGTAGTAGTAGAAATAGAAGTAGAAGTAGAAGTAGAAGTAATAGTAGTAGCAGTAGAAGTAGCAGTAGTGGTGGTAGTAGTACTAGTAGTAGTAGTAATAGTAGTAGTAGTAGTAGTAATAGTAGTAGTAATAGTAATAGTAGTAGTAGTAGTAGTAGTTTTAATAGTAGTATTGTTTTTGTTTCTTTTTTTTTTGTGATATGTCTAACAGGCCAACTTTAGAAACGCGTGACACGCATAATACTCCTGGGAGCTTATTCACCTGCTCCAAATACGAATCACAAATATTGTTTGATACAATACTCAGCGAGATTTGTTGACCTTAATTCCATGTAAGGATGCTAGCTCAGGCGGTATCCTCGAGTTAACATCTTAACAAATTGCACTCGTCAACAAATGCATCGACTCGAGTTTCGATACGTTTTTTTTTTCTTTTTTTACTTTTTCGTAATCATTATTTGTCATTATTATTATTATTATTATTATTATTATTTTAGTGTACTTGAGCCTACGATCAAAAAAATAGCCTCCCCGGAAATATTGCTGCGATACTGCGTTCGTAATTAATTTGCAGTCGCGCAACGGTGAGCAAGGCGTAAAATTAACGGATGAAAATTCTGAAAAATTAAATTGATTAGCACATCGTACAGCAGTATTCTGTAACATTCTCCTCTGCATATCATTCAAAATTTGTCAAGATGATTGCAACTTGTGAAAAATTGGTGAAACAAGTGATAGGTAAACACGTGATTGCATTTATTAAGAATAAGAATATAATATGAAAAAAAAAAAGGCTTTCAAACGGAATGTCTGTGTGTTATTAATCGACTTTGACGAGAATCGTATAAAAAGTTGAATTCAATCTCACGTAATTCAAATCAAAATAAAAACTGAATTATCCATATGCAGGTAAGCCTCTATTTGTCATTAACAAAACGATCACATTGTTTACATATCAATGTTTCGGTATAAGTTCAATTTTACTAATTAATAATTAGTTAATATTCGTCCTGAGCATTTAATGACACAAAAACACAAACATCACTGTCCTGCAGTTAATAATAAAAATCTGTTCTGCAGTTAATAAATATTATCCGGAATCTCTGTAAATCAATTCGCAGATACTTGATAACAGAACTCGTCGTTTATTTTTAACGATAAGCATAGCTAGCACGTATATATATATATTAGCTAGAAACGACATAGTGCGGTCAAATTAGTGAAGAGCTAAATTTTACACGTTTTAGAGGTCCAAATATCAATTTCAAACATTTTCAGAAAGAACCTCGAACCTCTCTTAAGACTGAAACGTCTCTTGAAACTTTGAAGAGTTATATCGTTTCCATCCAGCCGCTTGCAATTGTCGAGATCGTGAACTTGTAAGCAAAACTAAACCCGGTTGCTACCATTATTCGTATATTAATAAAAATGCGTTAAAGTCGATCGAAGTTAGTTAATACGTGTTTGAAAGTATATATTTTTGATATATGCAATGACATTGTGTTACTTCGATTATTCACAGATACAATTTCAGATGATAATTGAGAGAGGTGGCGTAAACTGTTAATCGTGTAAGCTGGCAATGGTGTTCCTTACCTTGCTTGAAACCTTCGCTCCCTTGTCTACTGTGCGGCCGCGCGAACGTTTCATCCGAGGCTAACAGACAAACAAGAGCCAATCAGACTATCGATAATCAGACGATTGTCAATTGAAAATTGAAGTTGAAAAAAGAAAAAAAAAAAAGAAAAAAAGAAAAACGTACAGACACGTTAACTTGCAACAAAAATAAATAAAACAGAAGAAAGAGAAAGAAAAAAATTGCGTACCTTGGGCAGAGGTGCTAGGCGTTGGTTCAGGTTCCCGTTTGACGCGAGGTGTTAGCGACTCGGGTGTGTCAGTACCATTTTCCGTTGGTTCCTCCTTTTTCGACGACGACAAGGAGGAAGCGGCCAGACTGGTTCCCGTGGACGCTGAGTTGCCGACGTTATTGCTGCTCACGTTGTTACTACTTGCCGAAGCGGTGCCGGCGTTTCCGCCTCTACCAGTGTTACCGGTGCTTTCGCTCTGAAAGTCGATACTCATCTTCATCTCCATCATTTCTGGGGAACCTTGGACGAGATCCGTCCCCAAACAGGACTGCATCTCCTGGCCCGATATCTCGCTGATCGGCGTGTCGGAGGAGCCGCTGAGCTTCCTTGGCCTGCCTCTTTTCCTCTTTGGCGCGGATAAGGCCGAACCAAGAAGAGGATGGCTCGACATATGGTGCATCCTCTTCTGCGACACGTGGTGGTGAGGCCCGATTTGGTTTATTCTATGTAGATTCGGCGGCGGCGGAGGTACCGTGTTCTGATTGCCAAGCAACGACGAGGTAATACTAGGCAGGTCACACTTGTCCTCGTTTACCTCGGTCAGGCCCTTTATCCTGAGAGACTCAGCGACTCTCAGGAAGGCGGTTAGCCTATCCTGGTCGACGCTGACCTCCCCGCGATACATAAAATCCAAAAGGCTGCGCATGTCCACGTAGGGGACATCCTTGAGAATGACTATCGGGTGCTTGTCGGGGTGGCCGACGAAAAGGGCCTGCAAGCATAACAAGAAAAGGGGGGGGAAAAAAAAAATAATATTGTCGATCGATGTTGTAGATTCGACAGGGGGGCTCTCTGCCGGAGTAAGAAAACGTTTATGAATTATTAATACGCGTCATGAATTAATCTGCCGAATGAATGAATTATTAATAATGTCCTAGAACGCGATTCATCGGGATCCTCAAACAGAAAACACGCATTTCCACGAGGATATCTCGAATATCCGACGGATGGGGTTTATTACCAGCGCGATGCGCTGTCGATTCTCGGGGCAGAACGAAGCTAGCTTCCCCTTACCTGAAAGTAGGGACTACACGCCGACAGCACCATCTTATGTGCCCTGAGTAGCTGACCCTCGACGGCCAGCGTAACATCGACGAACGACTCGTCATGGAGTAGTTGGTCGAAAACGGAGAGTAGATTACTTTGATGATTATTCCAGCGCAGACAAAACCTCTGCGACGCCATCGCTTCGCTTCTCAGATCCGCCAAGTTACCGTTAATGTCCGCTAACATCAGATCTAGTGTTGATCTTTTTATTGGTATTGCTGCTGCCGCCTCGTCGCCGCTTCTTTTCGCCTTCCTCGACGAAGCCGCTTGCTCTTCTTGCTCGTGCTCCTGCTGCTCGTACTCTTGCTCGTGCTCTTTTCTTCATCGGCCACAGTTTATCATATCCTTCCTTCTCGTGATCTGCGCGTTTCAAACGAAATTTACAATTAACCGACAGTCGTTACATATCCTAGAAAAGAAGAGAAGGAAACAACAGCTACGCGACGGTTATTATTATATTTATCGTAGCTCGTGTCACTTCGATTCGAAATTTCCTATACATGGTGGTGGTGGCTCGGTTTCACTCTCGCACCTCGAGAGTGAAACTCGTTTCTACGCAAAATGATTCATCTCTCAATATGAATCACACGGTATATACATATTACTAATTCGTTCTTCTGCGAGCGCAACACGTGCGGAAACGGCAGGCGATAACCGCGTTATTCGAGAGAATTCCTACGCATGGAAAATTTCTTGAAAATCATACACACGATCCTGCGCGCGAGTCCTCCGAACGTTGCATCGTGTATATATGTACGTACATAAATATATATATATATATATATATATATATATATACATATATACACGCGATAACGCCTGCATGCATAATCGTCCATATAAGCTCGCGAGACGATACGCGCCAAGTATGAACGTGGGTGTACGACCCTGGGAGGACGTAGGTTGGGCGAATAGGCGACTCGCTCCGTTCGTGCCTTTTATGTAATTCTCTCCTTACCCCTTCACCAGCTCAATCACGGTCACGTACGTAACGTTCGTTTCGCCAAAACCGCAAAGATGCGACAGAAATGACTTTCCTTGCTCGGTCGAAGGGTGGAATTTGCGATCCGCCGATCGGTGAAAAGATAGAGAAACGACTGGACACAGGTACCGAGAGAAATTCGACCGAAAAGAAAAAAAAGAAAAAAAAAAAAAAGAAAAACGGATCAGCTACTTGCGTGATGCGCTTATCGAAAAAAGAGATAAACCTTCTCTGACTCCTTATGTCCACGACAAAGTTCTGTTAAATATTCGCACAAAGTTGAGAATCAGTATCAGAAGGAAAACAAGAAAAAAAAAAAAAAAAAGGAGGGGAAAAAAATAAAAAAAAAAAAAAAAAAAAAAAAAAATGGACCAAAAGGAAGGAAGAATTCTAGACGGAATATAAGACAGACGATCGAGCAACCGAATCGTCCGCGTCTGATCATGCGCGCTAGTCGTAACGAGGCCTAAGGGGGGACGGGGAATTATAACGTTTCGTAACAATTGTAATCAACGCGAATTACAGCCGTTGGATAGCCGGGATGCCAGCAGCGAGTACACGAGCGAAGAATCCGATGGAGAGAAGCAGTCAGTTTCGTCAGAGGATCTGCAGAGCAGCGTTGCGACTTATCGAAGATTCGAGGGTGCGCTGGGCTGCACGTCGCAATCGGTGTCGCAAGAGATTTTCGACGACGCTGACAAAACGCCGGTGAACGAGGGTCACCCGATGTTGGATCCGAGCACGCCGAAAGTCGTGATGCGCTCCAAGCAGAAGAACAACGGGCCCAGGCCGTGGAGCGTATCTTGCATATCTCAGATCGGCAACAATTCAGGCTTGAATCAAACCAACGACCCGATCTCGTCGGCGCAGTTCTCCATAAGCGAAACGGCGCTCCATCAATTGATCGCCACTCCGCCGACGAAATCCGTGTCCCTCGATGCGACGTGAGTTGATAATTGCAGAGAGTCAAAAAACTTGCAACATGGGAATGCAACACCCTATAGAATTTTATATTAATTTACTTTTGTGTTTGATCAATATTTGATTGGGAGAACGATTGACATTAGTAAATTTTAATTTAAAGAGACTCGAATTAAAGAAAATAGTTTGGTCTTAATTTAAATTGCCTTAGGGATCTTTATAGACCTCGATGTTGAATTAAGATAAATGTAGAAGTTTAATAATTAAGTCTGTTCGACTTTTGAAATCTAAGATTGAGAAGATTCTGTACAAAAATTGAAACGGAGTTGTTGCAACACTGAGAATAAATTATTATCAGATTGTACGTACTATCTTTTATTTACAATAGCAATAATAATAATTTATAATAGTATTCTCATTTTCATTTGTACTTGTAATTATCTTTTATTGCTTGATTAGTAGATTGTAGAGCGAAATTATTATTCCCATTGCTGTATTGCTAGAGAAAAATTATAGTTGCAAAGAAGTTTGAAAACTTTTCTGAACACTCCCATAGTTATAAATTTCAAATGTCGAGCTTATTTCAATTTATTCCTAAGATAATATATCATTAAACCATGCGCGTCAGTTCGTCCCGCGCACGAAGCATCGTTCGAATCGGTCGCGTGTCGAAAACCGCGACGTCGCGGTTTGCCTCATCCGAACTTCCAGACATTTTAATTCAGTCGCCCTTCAAATTACAGCGCATCACGGAAACCGTTCAATAACTCAACGTCCACGTTACTGGAGCAGTCGATGATTTGCCACGACGACCGCGTGGTACGGAACAGCTCGCTGCGCAGGAAAAAGAGCAGGTTACGCAAGAAGAATCTGGTAAGATTAAAATTTGTTCTACATGCTATAAACCGCCGCCATGCGTTTCCGTTTCTCTCCTTTCACTGCCACTTCGTTCTGCCACGACACAGGGTCGCAAGAGCGACTCCAGCTTGGAAGGCGTGAATGCGAATCATTCGGCCGGAAGTGACGGCAGCTCGTCGAATCAGCAACGCTCGGCGCGCAAGATGAACGGAAATCGTTCGGTGCGCACCGTATCGAGAGACTGTCACGGTCGTTTGACCACCCTGGTGAAGTCCGGCTCGTTCTCGGGATGCACTGCCCATCAGCAACTCTCGGCCGAGAGGACGATCGTCAGCGATCCGACACCGCCGTTCAGATTACCTTGCTGTACTTCGGTGGCTTCCACGTCCGAGACCGAGGGCGAGGAGCAACGAAACTGTACGCGAGGCCGCTTCGCCTTCGACGACAACCTCTTCGATAACGTATTGAACAATAAGGAGCTGTGCAGCCAGCAGATGAACGCCGACAGCGACATCGAAATGAACAGCCTCGGGAACAATTCATTCTCCGAGCAAGCCTGGGACAATTATCAGGTAACCGATAATCAGGGTTCCATCTACGAAAAGTTTTCTGTTTTGTCTTCTTTTTTCATCTTCTGGCGAAATTAAAAAAAAAAAAATAAAGTGTAAACATAGCAATTAGAATTGGGAATGACGATGAGATTTATTATATAGAAGTTTTATTTCTGTGTTTTTTTTTTTTAAATCAAAATTAGTATATAATTAAGAAATGAATATAATTTTGTAATTAAAAAGTTGGTATATAATTTTTGATAATCAGAGATTGCTAACCTTTAATTTTAATTCGTACAAGTGATCAGTTAGACGCGCGAAGTGTAGACGTTCGTAATTAGGTTTTACGGCATCAGTCGTTTTATTCTTAAATTGATCATTTTTCAACAGGAGAAATACATGAGCGAGCCATACAGCGAAGCGCCAGATATAGAAACTGCACGAAGATTATTGGAGTTTGGAGACGATTACAGAAACTTCCTCGATAGTCAGTCAGATTGTGCATCAAGTATGAGTGCGATGCCCGCTAGTAGTTCGCCGCTAGCGAGAAGACGCATGCATGTACGTTCCATTCTATTATTCTTTCTTGACCAAGTGTCCATATTCTTTCTGTAACACTACATCTGCCATACCTTTGCATACAGATTTCCATTATCTTGAACATATTATGAGTCAGTATGTGGAATCTCATATGAATCAATATTTGTACAATGAAAATCGACATTGGTATCTGTTCATATTAAGAATAGAATAATACAATAGTCCCCATTATCCGCACCAAATGTTCACGTTCCCAGTGAGATCAATCGATTGCCTCGACGCAATAGTAATGAGATCATGTCTCGAGTTTTTACAGAATTTGACAGTATATACCGGTCGTCGTAGTTTACTCGTTGCGTTTCCCTTTACGTTGTAGTATCTCATTTCCAATGGAAAAATAAAGAATCGTTTTGTTTGTGTATTGCTGTACGGTGAATGTAATCCCTCCGCAGCAAATAAAAGTTTTGATTTTGTCTCTCCAACCATCGAGTGACTTTGATCTTTGCAATAAATTCATTACTATCTCGCAACCCCACGCCGAATTATTACCTTGCATAGATATGCTCGAGTTTCTTTTCTTTTCATCTCCAGTGTAACTCAAATGTAATCATTGGATAGTAATTTCTATTCAACGTGGTCGTTCGTGTAGTACAATATTACCACCTTGAGAAGAAATGTTCTTTCGCACAGTGGCATCTCTTTCGTTGAATTTCTCTCGCCGTGTCTTGTCAAGCCTTCTTTGAGACGAACGCGTCTCTTCGTTGACAATGTCTTAACGAGGATAAACGATGTAATTACAGATACAGTCGCTGCCAGAGATGTCTCGCAAATTGTATCTGGCGCGAGATTTTAATGGCAGATATTGAGCAGAAATTATTATGAATTACACACATCGGTGAATAAATATTTACACATACACACGCACACGCACACACACACGTGAAAAATATTTTTCATTTACTACAAAAGTAGTGACTTTCAAAGTGTATTAAAATTTAATGAAAGCAAATGGTCAACATCATACTATTCATGAAGGGAATTTATAAATTGTCGTGTACAGTGAATTAAAAATCGATTGCATTAAGTTCAATTTTCATTGATCGTGCTCGTGTCGCGTTTTTTAAACCCATTTCCACGTGCAATAGCAACAATTCGTTATCTCGGTCAATAAATCAGATAACTGACGGTAACTATGTTTCGACCATTCGTCCTTGAGTCGAACGAACGCCAGTGGTAACACAAGACGAAAATACCCCTCAACCTCAGTATCTATTAACTAATTACGTTCTCAAGTCATTGCTCTCAAAATTTCCAAGACTCCTTAATAGTAATCATCAACTTCCTTTCCTTAGTTAATAAATTAGCTTAAAAGTAGACTTAATATTGTAATGAGACATAATGTGGAAGAACTTTTAAAAAAGAAATTTGAAACTTGTTGTAGGAAATAACCGATACCACAGAGGACAGCGACAGCGATATCGAGGACATACGGAATTTAGTTGAAAAGTCGCAGTGTCAATTATCTCTCGCCGAAAATTTGTTTTCAAGATCATGCAACGGCGCAGAAGATTACGTACGTAGACTTTGGTATTTTGTGTTGAGTTTGGTTAATTATTTCTTACTACATTGTATGCAGAAAATAGCATAATAGCGGGAAATAATAAAATAGCAGGAAATAGTAAACTAGCGGGAATTAGTACATTTTCGTGGACTGTGATAAACATTTTTAACGTATCGCGTAACTGTTTTTTAAGCAACCGGACAAAGTAAAACTATTTTTTTTTTATAAGATTTATAAATGTTGATAGATAAGTAAAGCTATTTTTTTTTATAAGATTTATAAATGTTGATAGATAAGTAAAGCTATTTTTTTTTATAAGATTTATAGATGTTGATAGATTTAACTAAGAAATTTTAGAATCTGTAATGCATCGAAAATTATAAAATTATAAAATTATAAAATAATATTAATAGTCCATGCCACGTGCGTTAAAGCACGCAAGATAGTCCTACATACAATGTGTTAAGATTCCTAAGATTCTTTTCAAGCTTTTATTTATAGTAAGGTCATTTGCACCTGTATTAATGTTATACGCAGATGTATGCAGTCGTGTACAATATTTTTTACGATTGTAATTAATTTAACAGGTGATTAAATCAAAGAAAAAGCATTTCATATGAATTATTAATTATTAATAAGGGTAAAGAATAAACTGTGTATACCATAATGCATATGTGAAATACATTTTCTTAATCTTTTTTACATGTAATTGCTTGTGTACTTTTTATGTATTGCTTTTGTTTTTAACGATAAAATTGCTGCGTCTGCTTGATTTTACAATAAACGACAAATTTCCATAACATTTATAATAATGATAATTAATAAAGATAAAGAATTGCATATTGAAACAAGACACCCATCCTTTCCAACGTTTAAGTTAATATTTCTTTAAGTTTAAGTCGTTGTACAAACGGAAGAAAATTATTTGCATTAAAATAACGCGTTTCTTTAAAAGAATCTGATTGATACGTGAACAATATATCATGCATACATTTCAACTACACTGTCAAAAATTTCTATGTACTTCCATATAAAAGATAAGGTTTAAACATTATCTTTTAATGTTCCTTGTTAATGAAAACCTCATTAATTTATTAATACGATTCTCGTTAACGTAGAAGTATTAAGTGATAATGTTCAAAATTAAGAATAAAATTGAAAATATAAACTCAAACGCTGAAATTTAATATTTAAAATTTACAGAAAAACAATAACTTTCAAACTCATGTTAAATTATTTTACGTTTAAGTAACCTCAAGTTTTAAATACAAAATAATTTCACCCGTTTGTGAAATTATGAAACTTCGTGTGCAACGACCTGGCACATCAATTTTACTCACAAAATTTATACGCGTCACTGTATTCCATTCTTATTTTCTTTTCACAAAATTCTTTCAAGTATTTCGCGCACTGCGCGAACGCAAGTAAAAAGTTACACTCCTTTCTGTTTTATTGGCACCTAAACATAATGGCAGAAATGAAAGCTGAATTTCGACTTCATTTCTGGGAATGTTGCTTTTTACGTTCGATCATTGCGACAACAGACTGACGCAAGTTTTTCCTGTTGTAGACTGAGGTGCAGTGCGCGTGTAGCGAAAATCTGCGATGCCTGCACGCGTTGCTGGAGTCCGTCAGCAATTCTTTCCGAAGCGAAAAATACGTGAAACAAGTTCGCGGTGAGTACAACAATCAAATTGACCGTCGATCGTTTTCTATATCGCTGTCGTACATGGCCGTTGTATTAGTCACTGCCCTAAGCGGGCTTGTGTTTTTACTTCTTTCGTAATTATTATTGTTACTTGGTTCTCAACCATGAGAACTGCTTTCAAATTTAATATACAGAACTAGAGTAGTATATTGTCCCTTTCAAAATTCGATGATTTTCTTTGCACATTTTACGATGGAATTTTTCAAGCTTACGATAATTATTCACGATGTTCAAATGATTTGCTGGTACAATCGAATGGAATTCATTTTCGAGGATATTTACAAAATCATGTTTTACAAGAGTGACGAGGGGAAAAAACCGACGGATTTTAGTTAAGTTAAACGTTGCTTCGCGAATCAGCGTGTAAATATTATTGTAAGTCAATTGCTGATAAAGACTGATATTTAAGTATTATAGCATGTTGCAGAAATGCGCATTCTTCCCTCTCGATGTACTTCGAAATTTCTGAGAAGTGTACGCATTTGATGCAATGTTCAGTGTCATCGATCGTAAATCTTAATTCTAGAATTTAGAGAATTGTAAAAGAAACAACCAGTGAGTCAAACCGTTCGTAATATGTACAATGTAATTGACAATTGAATTGCGACACGTTTGCTCAAATAGTATAATATATACGTTGAAATCTCGAAAAGTCAGTGATTATTTAAACGTTATTTAAACGATGACTTGCGAGCAAAAGCAATGTATTTAAAACGATATTTAAAACGATCTTTATATAACTTGAAGATAACACGTGCAATTGCATGTGTAAATTAGCCTGAACCTACAAGCTAAATCAGCTGCATGCTAAATAGCGAATTGCATTTGCACATTAATGTCCATTACGAGTAATTAGTAACGACTTTACGTTACGTAAAATGTTTTATTTCTAAGCGTCATTGAAACGATATAAAAAAAAAAAACGCGGGAGATTAAATATTTGACTTTCGATAAAATGTGAGATCTTTTTCTGAGAAAGGCTTACGAGTTTACTCGAAAGCGGATCGATGACGTTTCCTTTGTTTGTTTAAAAATCAATTGATGACAGAAGAAGAACTTTTTCAACGTCGTTCGTTTATATAACTTAGCATCTAGTTAATACTTCTCTTGCAAATCTTTCGTTCGTTGCAGCGAAAAACTTTAGAGTATTTTCAGTTTTTAGTCGACTCTTGTATTACCGTTCACATATATTGTAATTATTATTTATAATAAACTCTGCTTTGTTTTTGCTTTTTGCTAATTATTCTTTTGTTTCTTTTATCACCTACAGAGAATATTTTCGTTTATCGCTAGCGTTTATGCATCATTTCGATCTTCGATTTTCTTTCAAATTTTCGTACGGCAGATATTCGTAACTCCTTTTTTTTTTTTTTTTTTTTTTTTTTTTTTTTTTTTTTTTTTTTTTTTTTTTTTTTTTTTTTTTTTTTTTTTTTGTTGCAATGCTTGTAGATAAACGAATAGATCGTGAAGTATGCGTGCGACGAGTTTAACATATTTTCTTCTTCAGGAATGCAACTTATTACTCGCGGAAGATTTCAAATGAAATTGTAGAATCTGACTTATTCGTTGCATATATATTTCTTTTAATTGCATTAATTAATCCCGTTGCATCGGATACCCAACAGCTAAATGCTATTAAATCGACGAATAGACATTCCTTGCGGCAACTTATTCGCTTCAAGCATGAAACATCTAGAAACGTATTCCGTGTTGGCAGCGGAACTAATTTTCTTAATTGCTAGAACAAGTAGCTTTTAAGCGAGGAAAATAATGACTTCGATTGCACACGGTCTTACCGTCGTTTCCGTTTAAAATTGCGCACATCGTCGAGGAGATTTGACGCCAGATTTTTTAAATATTTAATCTGTGATAATATGTTTGATTCAGATGGTATGTTTGAATGGTAGATTAGAATCAGATCGATAAATAATCGATTTTACATGAGATCTGGTTTCTTTGTCTTTCTTCTTTATTGCCCATGTCGCAGTTGTGCACTAGTTTTCGAGATTAGTATTACTGAACATAATAGAATGGAATTTAAAATTGTGCAAGAAAAGCTTCACGACGTCTCTGGACATTTGAAAATGAAATATTTCTTACATAAAATTGTTGTAAAAACTGTCTACAATGTTGAAAAATTCAATGAAATAAACATGAAATAAAATAACGATGGCATATATGATAATAAAATGGATTAATGAATAGTTCTTTAACGATAATAATACATCTATATGAAAAACAATATTGTATCTTTTAATATTCATCTGTTCTTATTCATTTAATATTTAAATAATATTTGAGGAGAGTACACAGTATTGAAACAATATGGTAAAATTCACAAAACTAAGAAATCTTGATTAACTAAAAAATAATCAGATTCGTATCACTAACATTCATGTTTATATTCATTTATTCAGGTTTATATTTAGAGGGGCAAAAGGTCAACTCACACTGACTTGCAAAATTTGTAGATACAACAATGAAATTTAAAAATCAAATTTAGAAAAGAATGTTCTTGCATTGAAAAATTATCGGAAATGATCCAACGAAAGTTGTTACAACTTCTTCATCTAAACGCAATTTAAATACTCACTTTCAAGTATGATCGATTGCAAAACACGATTCACTTAAGACCAAAATGGACTTAACATCGATCTTTCCAAGCGTATTAGCCCAGAAAAGTATACGAGGAGATCCAATTCTGCCTCGTTTACTGTCCATTAACCCTCGTTCGTCAATTTGACATACTTTTTCTTTAATAAAATGTCATGTACAAGTATTTTCCTATTTATATATACTTGTACTTTTCTGTTCACGTACTTTCGATATTTTTGATAACAAAATATACCAGAATTACGTGTCAAGTCTGTCATATTGTGTATTTTTTTCAGTTATTTTTAAAATTACAATACAAAATTGACTTACACGTGGAATATTTATGTTACATACTTACACGTATGATTTCTGTAAATCTGACACGCAATTGAGAATAGAAAATTTATTCCACTTATTATCAGTAATATCAACAAAAAAGAGTTTGCAAATTTAACTATTTATTTTTCCATCGTACATATTGACTTTTTATCATTTTTACCATTCGGCCAGTCTGACAAGTTAAGTTGGAAAAATGAGGGACACACATGTCAATTTTTTGTCCAAATTGCAACATTTTCTTTCATTTTTTATATTTAAATGTAAACCAAGAAAAAAAAAGAAAAAGGATAAGTTTATTAATTCTTAATAATTTCTATCCAGTGATATCGTGTACCGACGAGTTCAAAAGAAAAAGAAAACAACAAATCTTAATTTTATAAGGTTCGGTCACTCGTTATGGTCCGCGGAAGGGGTGAACGCTAGAACTATTAAAATAGTCAAGACGATCAGTTTTTGTTAGAAATTTCACAGACATGAAACAACAACGTGTTTCTAAAAATTTAAACGATCCTTCGAAAAACGTGTGAATCAAAAGCTTGCCTAATTTCTTGTATCAATAAAGATATTTTCCATCTTTTTATGGAAATTTTAGTCGGTAATTCTAGTATTTAAAAAAAAATATATATATATATATATATATATATATATATATAACTGGGCCAAGCTTCTTCTTTTTTTCTCGAGCCAATGAACGAAGTCTTGCCCCGAGGAAAAATACGATTAGGGCAGTCGCGGTCGACCGCGGCGTAATCCACGCGTTGCGTGTGGGTGCACTCGCGTAGGAGGCGCGTTTCAGGACGCGTGCACTATCGGTGGCACCTTTGGATCTCACCTTATAAGAAGCACCGTAGCCGACGGAACCTCACGAATCGATGCTCGGCCGCGTTCGTGTTCGAGTTTGCCGCAAGAATCGTTCGCCGCGTGTACCACGGTCAGTAGCTCGGTTTTCTCGCCGCGAGTCGCGGCCTTTGCTCCTCGTGGCTCGCCCTCGCTTCCGCCCCTACAGCTGATCCGCCACGCGTCGCCTGACGTTTCCGGAAACTGACTGACTCCTCTCGATCGCTTCGTGCCTTAATCCCGGGAATTTTCATTTATTACGTTCGTTCGGTGGTTGTCAATGTGAAGGTTCAGGTTGGTCTGAGAAAGATCAACGACGTGACTTGTGTGGTGTTCGTGGAGTTATAGCAGTTCGAGAGTTTTGAAAGTAGATTGGAGAGTAGTTGGAAAATAAATGATTTAAACGGAAGAAGTTGGTGTTCCCCAATGAAGAATCCTGTTTAAAATTGGCTGCTGAAAGAAAATTAAAAATTAAAAAAAAAAAAAAAATGGAACACTCTTAAAAAGGGGAACAAGTCTTGGAAAATTTAAATTAAATAGCGGATACGATAGATTAGTCCAACAATTAAAGTGCAACCAGCGCGATGAACAGTTAACTGACTTTTCGCGTGGAAAGTAAATCGTGATTCGCGATGATGTTCGCAAAAGAGGAGAGCAACGTCAGGAAAGATGCACCGGATACCTGTTACGCGTACAAGCAGATTATCGCGAAGGATCAGCCGGATGATACCTGTACGTAAACTTCCCTATGTATGAATCCTTCCACCCGTAAATCCTTTTTAAATGTCACGCCGAAACATTCAAACAACGAACGAAACAACTTGATCGAAACGTCCGGACGAATATTAAACAACTCGTTATTTTATACGGACTGTTTATTTTTTTCTAGTTCGTTTAAAAATTAAAAGGCTAGATTTTATTTTGTTTATAGGTGTCTCGAGCTAATCCTCGTTTTATTTCTCGTTACTTTTCATTGCGCTGTCAAAGTTATTCTAGCTCTCGAAGTATTTCACTTGAAAATTCATCGATGAATTTGAAAAATAATTTCCTATTATTTATTATTATTCCCAGCTTTATTTTCATTATGCTCTTAAAATTGTTTTTTAATCGAGTTCTTGAAGTTGAATTTTGCCTAATTTTTTGGTTTTATTTTGGTCTATATAGTTTATCTGAAGATTCATTGACAAAATTAATTGGAAGCTAATCTTTGCTTTATTCTTAGTTACGTTTCGTTCTGTTGGGCAGGAAAAGGATGTCTCGACGAATGTTACTATTCTATGTTAAAAAATGTGCAATTCAGATGTATGAAAATTTAAATTTTCTAATATTATAAACAGTTGTGCAATGATTTTCACTGTACGTACAAGATATATTTGTAACTGACTTTTATTACTACTACTTCTTTCATTCAACAGCATAATTTAGGAATTTCATGCAAAGAAAGTAACTTTCCAGATTGTTTTCTCTCTGTTTCTTCTTTTCTTTTTTTTTTTTTTTTTCCTTTAACTGTTCGAAAGTAGCAAAATTCGATATGAATTGATGTTACTACGACCTACTTTATTTCATTACTAAAATTTCAAGTTTCAATTCACTGAACATTATTTAGTATTACTCGATCTCAGATCTTGTTCCTTCTCGTTAATTTTAGTTTCTATTTATTTTAATTTTCGTCTACTTCCGTTCTTTCTTTCGTGTGACATATGATTGCTCATTTGAACAACTGCAAAACCTTTTTACGAATATATCACTTTTGCGTGTTACATGAAACATTTTAACATTTCATTCAATACGTCGTATTTCTGTGTCAGAATTACGTTTGTCAAGTTTGAGATAAATCTGGAACATACATAGACAAATCACAAGATATTTCGCAAGAGAGTTCACAAAAGTATTAGAAGCTTCAATATTCAGTGAGATCATCTTTGACATTTATTTATACACTTCAAATGATTATTCATGCTGTATATTAATTTTTTAGTAGACATATGCTACAAGCTTTATATCTTATAATTTGATTGGATTCGAATTTTATCAATATAATCGTAATTGAAGGGAGAAGGAAAACTTATCATTCATCGTCAAGTTCACTAATTTTGTCCCTAGGTTACTTGCACATGATTATTATTTTGCCTAATATGATGTTATTTTTTATTTTCAAGTAGAATGTACTATAGTGACGGGGAATTTGATATCTGACATTCACAGGCTTTTTCTTACACTTTTTAATTCGATTACGGATTTTTATAATACTCCAATGATGAAGTATTTATAGATACCAAGAATGCAAATAATTCCAAAAAATATTGAAAGTGGACTTTTTCTGATATCTAGTGGCTGAAACAAATTTCTGTCTACATATAATAATTGTTTTACTAATAACAATAATTTATTGATAATTGAAATTATGTAAAAATTATGGAAATTAAAATTTCAAAACGTTTCGCATAACGTTTTACACGTAATGTAATAACTGTTCAAATACTTTACAATACTTTTCACATTTCGGTGCAAATACATTCGATCTCTGATATCATCCCGTATTCTTCATCCATCAGTGTTCCGTTATCTGTAAAATCGATTGCTCACATTTTTTTCTTTGTATTCGTTTCGTTAAGACCGACTTACCTAGGAACAGGTTCTTTCGTTCGAGTCTCTTGCTCTGTCGACGAATTTCATTCTGTCAGAGTCCTTTTATTATAGTGTATAAAAAGCGATTTAGCATGACGTGAAACGAGAATCGCATGACGCGAGTTCTCTGAATACGTGTACATCTTTCTGGATCTGTATCTGCATTCGCGAACGAGTTTGTCGTTACTGCTTATAATTCTTTTGTCTTCGTCTGAAAAATTTCGAATTTTTTAAATTGGTTCTGTGGCATATTATTTGTTTAATAATGGGATTACCTGTTGTTAATTCACTATTTTTCATTGAAATTTTGTAGGTTCACTGCAAAGTAGATTTTTGGAGATAAAGAGAAGTTTACGGGGAATTTGAAATGTTTTTAGATTAAATTAAATAAGACCGTGCATTTTTTTTTTTAGATTCAATTTAAGAATTATGTTATGAATATTCTGTGGAATTTAATAATTTAATAGCAGGATTATCAGAATGACAAGAATGATTAATTTATTATTTTTAGGATATTTCGGAAAGTTTAAAATTTTTTAAACTGAATTGAACACAAAGCATCTTTTACCAGATTCAATTTCCGAACTATGGCATGAATTCGATTTGGTTCTGGATGATACGGAGATTATCAGAGTGGTAATAATGACCGATTCATTATTTTTCATAAGAATTTTTTGGGGGTTTACAGCAGTTCGTTTTTGGAGATTCAAATAATTTTTAGTATATCACAGAGATTAATACGATTTTTCTCATTATATACATATACTTTTATTATTTCTCTCATTTGGACATTTCATTTACTATTCTTTTCATTTAGAATTCTAATTCATATTCTAGTTCTAATATGACAAAATTGTTCGTTATTCTCAGATCAATCGAATTGATATAAAAGTTTAAAAGGAATGGCATCGCCAATGCCTCTGACTATCGATAGTTTTATTTTCTACTCGCTGCGTAGTTCGTAATTCGCGATACGCATACACGTGCCAGAAGACGGTGAATTCACAGTTAATTTTACCGCGAGCTTCGTTCTGACATAATTCTGCCTCTGTAAAGCAAGGCAGCATTTGGCCTTGAATTGAATTTTCATTTAAACCCGATTTGAATATCGTGAGAACTGATAATCGCACAGGAATGTTATCTCACGTAAATCTAACAAATCCAATCTTTAAATAAAATAAGCGTTAAAAATTAAAGGTAATTTTTTACAAACCTGTTATTACACTGAACGTAAGAATGTGAAGAATTGGAAAATAATTGCAAAAATTCGAAATTAAACAGAATCGCTGGAAAGCAAAACGGTAGCAAACTGTGTGATCTGTCTCTAGTTTAAAGTTATCAATGCCAAAGATTTATTAATAGCAATCTAGAAACGAATTTACTATTGTATCAAGTATAAGAAAATTAGAAAATAATTTAGAATCAATAAAAACTCTAGAATTAATAGAAAACAACACATGCTTGGGGTGATCTGCTTTTAATTATCTAGCATGAAGTTTTATTAATAACAATCTAATTGATCCTCCGAATGAAACAAAATATTAAAAATCGAAAATTATATAAAATTGACGAACCGGTAAAATAATAGATAATTAAATGGATTAAAAATTAAATATAATCGAAGAAAAACAGAATTTTTTGAACGATCTGTTTCAAAGTCATCGGCCAATACCAAATCTCATTAACAGACTTGATAAATTCTCCGAAATAATAAAATAGATATTAAAAAATCGGGGAACAGTAAATAAAAGTCGATGGAATTAAAAATTGAAAATTAGCAAGTAGAATCGACGTGTCAAGGCAAAATGTATTAATCTGTCTGTTTCGAATAGGGAGCAAATTAATCCATTTCGCATTCACATCAGAGTCGAGCAATCTATCGCGGTTTCACTTCAAATATTTCAATGCCAGCTTTCACTAATTCAATTTATTAAACACATCTATCAATTTTTTTTTCAGTACTTTTGCCCTCTTTTTTTTTTTCTTTCCTTCTGTCTTCGACTCGAAACCGCAGGAGGCAGCGAGACAATGCTCGATTTTATTAGCACGTTAGCCGCGAAGCGAGAGATTAAAGTAGAAAGCCTGGGGAACACAATCGTCCAGCAACCGTTTCACCGTTGTCCAAGATCCCAGTCCGATAGAAACTTTAGAAGGTAGTTGATTAACGAGCTTGTTTGATTCATTCTCGCGTTAACGTTGACCTGTTTCGTGGTAGTAAGTCGCTTTCATAACGCGCTACTCGCACGAGCGCACGTGGGTGTTATCCGTGGATGGATGCTACTTGGTGATGCTTCGCGCTTTGTTTAATTGCGTTATTAATTCTGTACTGCGAGAGAGACACGGTCCGTTGCTTGGATTTTTACAACATCTTGATCTTGATCTTCTCCGACAGAACTGAATCTTTGGGCACAATAAATCTGGACAGAACTGAATCTTTGGACAAAACAAATCTGGACAGAACTGAATCTTTGGACAAAACAATCTTTCAATTTGAGAAAATGTAGCATTTGCTCTCCCTTTTTTTTTTTTTTTTTTCAATCTATATCTTTCTTTTTACGTGTATCTTTTATTATTATTATTTGATTCTTTTCCAAGAGTTGTTTTAACCCTTCAATTTTCATTTCTTCCCTTCCGTTTTGCATGCTATAATAAAGTAGCTAGAAAAAAAATCGTGAACGAGTCTGTGAAGAGAAACAGCTCGCCGATAAATTACACAGTGTTTTACTGTCCTCGAAATCGCGATTCGACCAAATTCTTTCTTTATTTTTTTCTGTTTGAACGTTCCAAGAATGCGATTCGAGAAAAGGTTCCATCGAAATCTTTATTACAATTAGAATTATATTTATTATTATTATATATTATTATATATATTTGTATAATATATGATATATAATTTATAATGTAAATATAATGATAATAATAATAATAAACACATAGTCTACACCTTGGATTTAAATGAAACTATTATATACGTAATATATTTTATAATTTTATAATTTTAATTATTTATATATTATATATTCATATATAATTTATATATAATTATTTATTTATATATTATATATTTTTATAATTTTAACTATTTATCATTATTATTATTCACGCGGTACACAATATAAATAATGATACAAACATAAATCATAATTATAATTATAATTATAAATTATCATATTATTACAATATTGAAATTTCAAAGAAATGAACGATCTTCTAAAAAAGCTTGAAAACTGCTCAGAACTAGCTGAATCGTGATAACGAAGATCGGCCGATCGTTCAACCGTCAGCCAATTAGAAGGATCGAATTATGCAAATTGCAGACGAAACGTGCTGGCGATTGATCAAAACGGTAAGCGTCCGAGAGACGCGTTTACGCGAGTTTCGAAATCGTTTCAGTCGCGATACAAAGTACGTACCCTCCTTTCTCGCCGTTTATTTCCCAAATGTGATAAATTGGCGAACGCGATCGGGGAAAGCAGTAATAATAATATATCGTTTCGTTTCGTTTCGTTCGAGAACGACTTTATAAATCAGCCTCTGGTGACGATCGCGAAACTATCGTGATAGCTAGGGATCTAGTTTCGTACTGTTTTCCATGGATAAACTCGTTTCAATGAATGGATAATGAACGTGATAATGCTACTTGCAGTCAATTAGAGCGCGTGAGGTGTAGTTACAAGAAGCTACACGTTTGTTAGCGTGGTTTCTTTTGGATAAAAGAAAGTCTCTTACTTGTGTTGAGCACTTGGATTGATAAGAGGCCATTAAGCTAAATTGTCTTGTGCATACGTGGACTATGGACACGGTAAATGAATAATGAAGTGTTTATAGCACGTGAGAAGTTAACGATTCATTTTCCAATATATTTTGGTAATTTTTATTATATGAAGTGTTTGTAGCATGTGATTTTTTTTGATGTTCGATACATAGATTGATGAGAGTCTACTGAGCCAAATCGTCTCATTCATACACTAAATGATATAGATCTGTTATACAACGTAAAAAAATACATGAATATAATAAAAGAACGTATAAATATAATAAATGGTCGATGATTCATTGGTATTTTTCTTTAAAAGTTTGATTGTCAATCGTGAGAATTTGTAATAGCATTTTCAAAGGTGATCATTTGAAAAATGGCCATTTGGAAGGAACTGATCGATCTGAGGAACTTTGTAAAAAGTCAAAGAAACAATTAATGTAATAGCAACAAATGTTGCTTCGTAATTTCCGTGAGAAAAAGTCTTATATAATCGTTAAAAAGTCTTAATAATATAGTAATACCTCGATACGGTAATACTCAAGATTAATGTTCTTGGAAGAGGCTCATCTTAGCACGTAGTACATAAATAGAGATAAAGAAACGTACGATTGAGAATAAAGAACTTTTACTTTAATTTTAAGTTACTTTTATATATAAATATATCTATAATATCGTATATTAAATATATTTATAATAATTATGTATATATAATATTAAATATATTTATAATATCACGCAAAGAAAATAAAAGAAAGAAATAAGTATGCACATACAGAGAAAAGGTCTGTAATTGTATTGCGAATGATAAGATTGAGGCTCTTCTGAAACTTCCGATTTTTTTGCTCGTGATTATATCACTATACAACATATAGAATATTTCTTTAGAACCTTTTTTGGAATTTGGAAAAGAAAATCAGAGTTGAACGGAGTCATCATTTGCGAAAAACTGATCGATCCAAGACACTTTGTAAAAGGTCAAAGAGATAAGAATAAAATAAATAATTAAATAATGTAAAAAAGAATTAAATAATCATAACTCCCGAGAGACTTCGAAATCGTTTAATCGTAAAACCGTATAAAAACACAGATCTGTATAATACATACTTTATACATACGTTTCGAATCAAAGTACCCACGCAAAGAACAGAGAACTCGCCAGAACGTTTCACCTGTCGCCGCACGTTCCTCCGCTTCGTGCGTTCCAATTTTTCATCCGAGTCTGAATTTGCCACGAACAATTTGCTCGTGCGGATTACGTTTTCTCATATCGGCCAGACACTTCCGGAGTAATAATAATCACGGGCCAATCCGACGTGTATACATATGTTCGATCCTCGAGATTAATTTCTTCCTGCGAGAGCGTTAGGCTGCCCGATTCGATCTTTCCCTCCGGTTAATCCCGGGCTAACGGGCAGAAAATTATACGGACCTTGACTTGCACGAGCCCCGCACGATTCGTCGAAATTTTGTCGTTCCAGTTTGGTCCAAGACGATGCGAAGACGAACTCGAGAAAAAGAAGAGGCGAGTGTGCACTCGCCTTACCGATTTCTGCTCTACTGAGCGCAATCGTTCGACCGTGGTAACGCGGGACGTGTATTACGCGTAATACACGATACCACGCTGGCCGCAATTATATCCCGCACATTCTTCGTCATTTCCTGTAGGTCAGTGTGAAATTCATTGCTCTCTATCGGCAATATGTTTCACCGAGCGCTCTTCGTAGCCAGCGTGGACGACACGCTCTTCCTGCCGTTTGTCAGCGAGCTTGTTGCGGTAATGATACACCTGTCGCAGGATACACGGATCCTGCTGGTTACCGGTCACGTGAAATTTCTTTTATAACGAGGCCTTATTTCCATGGTGCGCTCATGAGAATGGAAAATTTAAAGGAAATTGGTGGGTTGGTTTTGAAGTGTAATCATGTTTTCTTTGAATGAGGAGTATTTGTATATGTATATCTATACACACACACACATTTTATATGTACTCCTCATTTTTATTTATACACACATATACATATTACATGCTTGTACTTATATGTATTTGTATATACTTCAATTTGAACTTGTGTATACTTCAATTTTCAACATGTATATACTTCTTATTTATATATATATGTATAACTCCTGTTACATTAATATTGATGTTGATTATGATCGATGGTTTACTTGATTGGAAATTGAAAATGAAATTTCATTTTATTTCCTAAATTTGGATTTTCTGCCTTATGTTTGAACATTTGGTACACAGAAATTGGTGTTTCGTTCATGTATTTATAATCAAGGCTATTTGATTAATATTTTTATCCTCAAATTTGATCGATGAACATTGCAAATGAATTTCAAATTGATTGGTATTATATTTTTTTTCTTTTCCCAATTGTTATTATCTTGGATGATCAATCGGATTCAAATAATTGAAATTTTGATCGACGTATGTGCGAAAATAAATGCATTCTTAATTCGTTTTATACTCCTCGCTCGATATTAAACTTAGGCTTATTAAATTCTAATTAATTAAATTCTTTTAGGCTTATTAAATTCTAATTAACTACGTAAATATAAGATTTAAACATGTATTAACGTACTAGAAGTTGTTGGTAGCTTCAGTTTTTAATTCTCAAGCAAAATAAGCAACGTTGAAACGATTCTCGCGAGAAATTTCGTTGAAAATCGGTTCCAACCGATTTCGCAAAACGATGAAAAGAGATCCGATGGCTTTCCTTTTCGTTTCCTTTGTTCCCAACGGAACAAGCAATTCCCGGCGGCTCGGAATTCGAGATTTCACTCGCAATAACTATAGCCCGTCACGCGATTGTTTTTTTGCGAACCATCCGTGACAAAGTGAAAGTTGTTTTTCCTCGAGAAAATTACGAAAAGTTTTTCCTTCGCAGCCTAGAAATCGAGATTCATCGCAGACTATAACAGGTACAATAGAGCGCGAATGTGGACCGAAAAACGCAGAGGCCTTCAAGCTATTTTTATTGCGATCGTCATCAGGTTGTTAATGATAATCACGCGAATGAAACGTTGCTTTATGGATCTTTGCCGACTAATTGTTGACTTTCTTGTATTCTCTCTATTTATGTATATATTCTCTCTAAATTTTTCCTAAGTAAATAATTTTTTGCAATGCAGTGTGACCTAGGATGTTTAAATATGTGTTTTTAGATATATTATTACGTTTGTAGATACCTTATCTGTGATTTTTAAATCTCGTCGTGTCTATTTATCATTGGCATTCCCTCTTTATCGCCATGTTTATTGCCATATCGTGGGATTTGTATCTGAGAAATTTTTATTTTTATTGTTTCTCTGAAAAAAAAATTAGTTTCCTAGTCAGAGGGAGACCTTTGTTTGAGATATCTCGTATATTCAAAACTTAATTGCTGTCTAATATATTTCAATTATATTTATATACGTTTATATTGAATATTTATTAATTTATATTGAACGTATTCAATGCTTATATTGATTTATATTATCAAGAACAATGAATATATTTATATATATTAAGAATAATGAATTGAATTATATTATTGATTATATATAGAAATATATTATTTTATTTAACTATTTGAAATAAATATGCGTTAATTTAACTGATTTTTCTCCAGATTATTTCATTATTTGTATATTAAAAGAGATAACTTTTTATTTTTTTATAATTTTTTATTTCAAGAAATTATTCGGCAATGATTCGTTCAAATCTCAAATAAAGTTTTCTACCCCGTTTCAAAAAATGACAATAATAAACTAATTGAATTAATTCGTCATTTCAGCCTATTATCTTTTCATTTCATTTCATATAAAATCTACTCAAGCCTGATTATACTTACACACATGTAACTACAACGAATTACACTCTCGCCAATGAACTCTCATATTTTCGCAATTTTTATCAAGATTTTCACGCAATTAATCATCGGAAAATTAACTTTCGAATTCACGATGCAATTCGCCGAACACTCAATCTTGCTTCTTCCAATCTCACTTCCTCTCTCGCATAGAGAAACGCTTATTATCAGAAACATCTCGTTTTAACGGTGCGTGTCCGCATGAAAAGAATTTATTTAACCACGCGCTGGCAACTGATTGCGGACCATAACGAGTGACCAAATCGTATACAATAATTCGTCGCTTTCTGTTTGAACTCGTCGGTACGATACCATTGGATAGAAATTATTATTAAAAGTAATAAATTTATTGTTTGTTTTGCCTGGGTTATACTTGAATATATCTAAAACTGAGAAAATATTGCAATTTGCTGTTAAAAAAAATCTCGACGTGCGTGGCGAGAGGTTAATCGCACCTGTTGCGCGAATTGTCCACAGTCACTTCTAAATACTTCGTTCCTTGCCACTTTTCTGTTCACTTTCTTTCAATACTTGTTCCTATTTGTGGGACAGTAATTACCCGAGTGTCTCGGTCACGGTTACCATGTTACACAGAAAGGGGAATTCCATCGGCTTTCACCGAATAATTTATTTCTCTTGTACGAAGACACTTCGTTGGCAACAGGTACGCCACTCGTATTTAATCGAACGAAAGCAAGGATCACAGTGTAATGGAGCATGGCCTCGTCGATAGGGGTCGCGTGTTCCGATGTCGATAATTGTTTCCGACACAATAATTAAGGAATCGTGACAGCATGTTAAATTGCTAATGACTTACTTCGATCTTGATTTCTGTTTATGTTTTGTGCGTTCTTTCCTATTCTATTTTTATTTTCTTTTTTTTTCACTCTTGAGTGAAATAGTGAGATAGTGAAGCGTATTATGAATCGTAACAATTTGAGGTTAAGTTGCAATTCTCCATGTACATAGGAGAATAATTTATTAGTTTATTACTATATAATTAATGTACCTGATATCTACTGTGCGTTAATAATAATATTTATTTATTATAATATTATTTATTCCTTGCATTTTTTACGATAATCGGAGATCTTTCCTCTAATTTCGATATTTGATAACGATATTAAGTATAAATACAAAAGTTGAAATATTATACTCGAGAATACATCTCTTTATCTTGTTTTTGTTCGGAAGTGATACAGAACTTGTTTGTACACAATTATGTAGAAGAAAGTATGTAATTGGTTTGATAATTGTCGATCTTGTTTCTTGTCTAACTTGAAATCGTTCAAGTGGTACATATTAGACTGGAAAACACACCGGATCCGCTGTAAAGAGTGGGAAATATCCAGATGACTGAGATACCGCGGGGAAAGCACAAATGCCAGCCACATTTTTACCATGTTTCAACTATTCCTGCTAGAGAAAATGAACGCAAGAACTATACGCTCGATTTTCCCAATTTCTTCGTCAGAAAAATTAAGACTCGAAGATAAATAATAACTTCTGCAAGTAAATAAACGTTTTATTCACAATATTATTTTTGATAATTAATAAACTGTTGTTGAAGATCAGGCTTATAATTATAATATCGATTCCTTAGGAAAAATTTATTTCATTCGAAATAAATATATTGATGAAATTAACATGTGCTTACGATTTGCACGATTTGCAGGTACTACATAGTCTGATGGCAAAATTTGAAATCAAATCAAAGATGATTAAAGAAATTTGAAAGATTTCGAAGTCGTAAATTTGAAATTTAATATTTCAACGTGTTGTTAACACTGCAGTGCAATATGCTTTGATCATTCGAATGGAAATTTTGATATAAATCGAAGAATCGTGGTCTCGTAAGAGTGAAAGTTCTTAAACCGGAGCAGGCTGTTCAAAACGATATCAGCCGGTTAAAATCATGCATTGAAATCGTTTGTACATATTTTTAAGGGCGGCAGCGTTGTCTCACGGAAGAAAGTACCGAAGGAAAGTATGAAAGAAACAGGTCATTGAAGCCATGCGAACTGCATATGCGAACATACAAGCTGGTGCTTGACCTTAAATATCGGAGTTATTTTCACTGACATAATGAAGTTACCCTGAGAATGTGGCATCATGAATAACGTACTATAAAGTAGTATTAAAATCATCGGGCAAAAGAAAGCTGTTGCGTATAATTATCTAAATTGTTTCTTATGAGAAAAATAATATTCTAAAACTTGATGTTTAATTTCTTTTTTCTGTTTTACGTACTTGTTCTTTTTTTTTAATTTGATTACTTTTGATCTTGTCGTAAATTCGTGTTTGCTGTTATATTTATAAAAATATTAATACGAAATGGGAAAATGCAGTAATAAGAATAGAAACCAAAGAGAGATGTGCAATGTCACATTAGAAAAATGAAAAAACTTATTATTATACTACTGTAGCTGTATAGTGGTATCATTATAATAAAATAGAATGAATAGAGTCTATTATATATAGAATATAGGAATATGAAATAAGAGAGGAAATAAGGAAAAAATCAATGAGAAAGAAGAATGAAAGATTAAAGTGGAATCAAGCGAGTTTATTTTCTTAGCAGTGAGGACGAAAACAAAGATATAATGAAATAACAGAGAATATTTGAAATATTGAAAGAATTATTTGTCTCTCTATCAAATGATTCAGGAATATCGAAATATTTACTGTATTATTAATACTGGGACGGATTCTCTAATTATATCATTTCAAAAACGTAAATATCCTCTTTAATAGAAAGTTGAAAGCTTTAGAGCGATGAGACAAATAAATTACTTGATTTATTTTTAACAAGTAGCAAAACGAAATAATATTTATTAATATCTATTAATGAAATACATAGAAACGAATCTATTGCACAATCTTCCTTTGTATTACAGCTTCTTCTATGGAAACACGAATAAAACCTTTTTCTTTATGTTGTAATTTTTTATTGACTTGTAATTTATAGAATTTTCTTTTCTATATTTCAGGCATGTTAGAGAAGTGGGAATCCCTAACAACTAGAGTAGAAGAGACGCAAATGGCTACTGCGCTTCATCGCGAGCTGACTGCTCTACGTACGGAATTCAAAGCAGCACACGACAGACTCTTCTCGTACGAGATTGCTTTGGAGCAGCCTCACATATTAGACGAACGAATTAATCGAATCACGGTAAGAATTTTTCATTTCCATAGTTGCATTACATTCGTATTGTATTGGCATATTCTAACAGGATTATAGAATATTGCACAGTATCTATGATCATATTTTGCACGGTATTATTTTTACGAAATATTAATAACATTACTTGAAAGTTATTGCAACATTGACTAAAGTTAGTCAATGTTATAAATGAAACGGTTGAAGCTCAAGTAATGAATTTGCTATTATTGAATTTGCTTATTATCTAAAAGGAGTCTAGAGAACTAAATTACTGCGAAATTTGCATAATACAGGCTGGACTATATATTGCTTGGTATTATTCTTCGCTTGATATCATTTTTCAAATACTAATATCCAAGGAAATAAAGACTTGAATCGCTTTTCAAATAGTAATAATTCGGGAGGAGGTGATTGCACTCGGGTCATCATAGTGTAACATAAATTAATTCTGTTCACGATTTATACTTGTGGCAAATTTAAACAATTTAATTAAACAAGGAGAGGACAGTATCCGTAGAAAAATTTATTTCTATTCACTTCTTTTCAATTCATTTATTGAAAGTTCAATTGTTAATGAGCTTCTGTCTCGAAACCGATCAACGATCTTTTGATTGTCAATGATGTGAAAATTGATAATCTTTGTTAATACTTCGAAATACGATTTCTTTATTACAGCAATTGATAATTTGATCATTTCTATATTTTTTATTATTTGTTTTATAACTACCATTAATTTAAGGGAGTAATAAATATTGTAAATATTTTTTGCAAACTATATTAGGACTGTTGGTTTTTAACTTGTAACTCTGCGGACGTATGCTAAATGCTAATTTAATATAATGATAATTTACGTAGAAAATAATTGTATTATAATCAAGTTGATCGTCTCTTAGAATAGCCATGCAAAATGATAAATTTCGCGTTCAATTCAATAAATAATTTTCGATACAAATGTAATAACATCATTTATATTTTCTGATTTTAATTCCTATTATTAGTAGCACTGCGATCCAAAACCTGCGTAAATCGATATAATAGGATGTGACACGAAAATGTTAAGAGAGAATCAAATGATTCCCAAAATATGGGACCCAAAAAAGCATTGGACGTTCAATCTATTCAGTGATTTTAGTTTGTCAATGTCATATTTTTAAATCGCACGAGATCGATACTCCAATTAAACACTTTTTACTGGTTCGTGTCTAGTATAGATATACCGAGTGTCGATAACTTTTCTTTGGTCGATAACCCATTCTTTGGTCGATAACCCATTCTTTTGTTTCGTCGGTACTGACTATACCGACTGATATACTGTTTCAATGAACATGCCAACTGCAGATGGCGCGAAATTACTCTTTCTTTAAATATCATTTTAATTTTCAATAAATATCACAAAAATAGTACAATTTTTCTTCCTGTATCGTTAAAATAAAATTGTACACTAACGAAAAAACGCGTCCCCTCATTATATTTTTCAATCATTGACAATATAATCGAAAATTAATGAAAGATACAATTAACAGCACATTTGTTTTAGAAAGTTATAAATCTAACTTTTTATATTATTTTTCAAATAGCACCAAGCACCTTTTGCCGTTTCCAAACATTTATTGTCACAATGAAAGCTTATATATAACTTTCCTGTAAGTTTCGAGCATTGAAATCTTCTTTTAAAAATCAGACCCCCATGTTAATTCCCATGTTCCAACGCGCGATGTTCGATTCGAGAGGTATCGGCGTGCGTTCGCCAGAGCGGAACAAGCTCGGGCATTATTAAAAACATCCTGAAGAAGTTGGAGAGAGCCGGGAGGGAGGACGAGTGCTCGAGATGAAAGTAGGCGAAATAGAAGTAAGAAAAAGAGAAAAAAGTAGGAAGGCGTGCAGGGGGGGTACGGCGGAGCCCGGAACAGACGGGGCTGGCGGTCGCGGAGGAAGAGGAGTATAAAGAGAGGGTGAGAGACCAGTCAGGAGGCAAGGATAGAGGTAGAGAGTGGCGTAAAAGCGTAGTCGTGTCGCACGTACGCTCGTCTGACGGCGACGTGCCCGGCATTGCAACTCGCCGGAGCGAACGCCGGCGAACCTGGCCAACCCTCTGAAGTTCCACCCCCCAAGAGTCATCCCCAGTCTGCCTCTACCCTCAGTGAACCCCTCTCTGGAAACCTCTGGAACATCCTGGTCTCCACCTCTTTCCTGTTTCCCTCTCTTTTCTATCTTCCACTATCCTTCTTTCTCTCGCACCATCCCTCAATATATATATATGTGTGTATATATATATATATATATATATATATATATGTATGTATATATCTCCTCGTCTTTCTTCGTCTCGCTCATTTTCCACGATTCTCCCGGCTACACCGTGGGAGGGTGCTCCTCTTCTCATTTTCGCCTCAACTTTCTTCGATCCTCCTGCCACCCCTTCGGTCTTACGCTTTTCTCCGTCTTTTTCTCCTTTACCCTTTTCGTCCTCTCGCTCCCTCCGCCGAGCGGGAACCATCGCGCCCTCTCTTTCCAGCGTGTTGCACGCCCCTGGCCCCCTATTCCTCGTAATATCCCTAACGTCCCTACCAACCTCATTGCGAAGACCAAACACATGCTCCCTATCTATCATCAAGATGTATTAGCGTCCAACATTTGCCGGGTGAACTCGTCGCTGTGCTGCATTATGCAGCAGGCGCGAGGCTGTCTAGCCGCCGATATCCAACTCTCTCTCGCTCTCTCTCTCTTTCTCTTTCTCTCTCTCCTCTCTACGCCCTTCCCCCGGATACTTCTTATTTTACATGTTTTCGCGTGCCACGTTTCACATAACCGGTCCTCCGGGTTTCGATTGACGGGCCACGGTCGAAACCCTGGCCCCAAGTTCCGGAGTCTGCTTTGTTCCAAACGTGCCAGAATGTGGTTACCGAGACGACAGCGTGTGCGGCAAGCGTGTTGTCCGCGAGGTTTTGCACGCGACGAAGGCTGCCGATGGTGTAGGGAGAAAGGGTTGACGCGCCGTTGAGGTAAGCCGTGCAACCAGGGGTTGGAGAAGCACGCGCGCTTTTGGGGATTAGCTCGCTGTCGAAACCCGGGGCTTCGCGTTACGTTGCTCGTACTGGTTGTTTGGCGGTTCTTTTTTTTTTCGTTCTTTTTCTTTTTTTTTTTTTCTGTCGCGTGGACTTTGAATGGAGTTAAAATGGCGCGAGAAGATTTCCGAGGATTTATGTTCGTCGAATCTCGTCTGGGAATTTTGATTGAAACAGGAGTCACAAAGGAAGTTGTGTAATAAATATGTACACTTCTGTCGAGGAATTTTAAACGTGCTAGGAACTCGTAAAGAGCGACGAACTTTTTTAAACAAATGCAGATAAATTTGCTGTTCAGATTGGCTGAAAATACTAAGGCTTTTCAAGACACTAAAGATGACTTGTACTGTGCAAATATGTTTTCATTGTTAAAATCGTCAGTCAGTAGGACAGTATAGTTACGATACAACAGTAATTATATTACAACAACTAAATTCTTCCATCAAGATCTTCCTGAAGATTTTGATAATAAACGACATTTGCGTGGCGCAAGTTAGACGAACCGTCTATCTAACATTCTCATAATGAGCTAATCACACGGTCGAAAATATTGTTATTGTACAACTCGTTGGAAATTAATTCGTCGCTGGGTTGCATCATTAACAAATTCTGTTATCATTTGCCTTCGCAAGATAATTAAATGTATTAAGTATTGCGCTGCAAAATATTTCTTCGTCCCCGCTCGAGAACGCAACATTTTTTGGAATCAACATTTCGATTTTAATATCTTTTAATTCAGTTTCGATTTTCGCGATTGGACGAAGCGCAGTTGCACGTACCGCTCGACAGACTTCTCGTTAAGACGGGGAACCGAATCGACGTTAACCCGTCGTGGAATCGATTAGCAGCGTTGGCGCAGCACTCCGGGTTGTTCAGCCCGGAGCGGAATATTTCGCATGCACGACGTACGATGAAAAGCGCGACGGAATGAGCGAGTGTGCAGCGGCGGCATGGCGCGCGAATCCGAATGGAATGTCGCTCGTGTATTACGCATTCGTAAACAGGCCTGAATCGAGCCTGTGTGTTGCCTCTGCCATTGCGATTCCTGCGCGACACGCCGCAGGACCACTGATTACGTATATTGCGTAATTCCGCGACAACTCGCGTCTCGATATATACAATACCATCCCGCTCATTAGCGATCGTTCGCACTTTTCAATTGCGTGACCCGCCTTTGGATCCGACATTTGTCTCGTCGTCCCCCGTGAGAAAACGTCTCCGATCTTAACGATCGTCTGGCATTTTTAACGCGGACAGACGGGGGGAGTTCTTGGTACTACGATAGCTGTGGAGTCCCGTGATTTCGACATTTACGCAATTTATTTTTATTTATTTGTATATTTGTATAACATTTCTCCTGAAGAGAGATGCGGAGCTTGGAGAGAAATTTTTGGCGCGATTGTTAGTACAATTGAATATTTAAATTTTGTTATTGTGCAATTTTTGCTTGGTCGCCGATATAAAATTTTTCTAAAGAGAATAAAAGATGGATTTCTGAGGAGAAATTTCTGGACGCGAATTAAATATTTAAATTTTATTGTTAATTTTTATAATTAATGATTGACAAAAGATATATATGCAATTTAGTTTTACTTGGTCGCGGATACAAAATTTTTCTAATGAGGAAAAGATGGATTTCTGAGGAGAAATTTCTGGGCACGAATTAAATATTTAAATTTTATTGTTAATTTTTATAATTAATGATTGACAAAGAATACATATGCAATTTATTTTTATTTGGTCGCGGATGTTATATTTTTGCAAAGACAATAATACGGAAGAATATAAGAAGATTTATATCTATATAAATTATCTATATATAATAAATTAAATCTAATCTATAAATTAAATTAAATTTATTTAAAAAAATATATAAGTTAAAATTTGTATATTAATTAAATAACATATGATTAAACTAATATATAAATTAAATTTGTTTTAAAA